AAATAAAACTCAAAACCCAAAACTAAAAGCATACTAAATAGAGTCTTAATTAGCATAAAGTTGATGGAGTAAGACAACTAAAGGTATTAGGAGTGAACCAACTAAAAATTGAAATTTAAAAGTTAGGATAAGTCCTTCAACAATTTGTTCAAGGTTAAGTTTGTTTAATTTATTCGTGTGATTTCTTTCGTGATTTCTCCTAGTATGATGTTAAGCGTACTACTTAAAATTATGCTTTAATGGCTATGATTTTCAAGCTTGCTTTCGTGTCTATGTACTTTTACAATTTTTTTGAACTAAAATTTTCAGACAACTTAATCATGATTTGAAATTGGAAGGCAATTCATTTATCAAGAATTTAAATTGTTTCATTAAGAAAATTTAGACAATATCAGAAGTGTAACAACCTCAATTTACTATAAGCTCTATTTGTTTAATACCTAGAAACTATTTCAATAAGGTCAAAAACTTGAATTTATAAGCAATCTCAAGAGATTCTTATTATACTCCCAAATAAAAGATTTTTATTTGTAGGTCTCACTTCTAAATGTACAGCATTTGTTATACTCTATATCTGGACATGACAATTATAATGTGTGCATATATATATATATATATACATGTTAAACTCTCAAAATCCAGAAGCTACATTGGGTTCTAACAAATGCGAAGTTGAGTTACATTGTACCCTATAAGGGAGAAGCTTGCCTAGCTCCTACCTTTCAATTTATAAGATTAAAACTTGAAATCTAATTTAAAAGGAATTGAGTTCCTTTCACTTGAATCAATATATTGTTAATTAATGTATATATATTAATGTAAAAGGTTGAGCACCTTGCTTGTACTCTAAATGAAAATCAATATTAAATTTAATGCATTTGGGAAAAGAGAGAGAGAGAAGTCAAAGTTGCAAAGGGGTTTTCACACATTAATACATGTGGAAAGTATATATTAACGTATGGAAAGTGCAAAGAAAAATGCTTGTGTTAAATCATACATGCATTAGTACGTGTAGAAAGTACATATTTACCTGTGGAAAGTGTCAAAAAGAAAGTTCGTGTGAAACAATAATTAACGTGTGGGAAGTGTAGAGAAGAGAGTGCCATGTTATATTAATTGATGAGATATACAATAAGAGATAATATTTTTCTTATTTGGATATGTGCGAAATTTTCGTTTCACTTATGAGTCCTTTTTTTTTTTTTATCCAAAATTGCATAGTGGGAGACATCATTTCGCTATCCCTTAGCTCTTTTTACTTGCATTTTATACAACTCAAAATTTCTTACATTCAACAAAGGAAGATTGACATTGATTTACTTAAATCATTGGCCTCTTGCAAGTTTTTATTTGCCATAAGTTGTATATTTTGATTAATAAGAAAATTAACTTTGCTAGTAAAAAAACAATTATAGCTTTTAGAGTTTTTTTCTATATATCTAGATCACCACTTATGGTAGTCAACTATGTAGTAATACTTTTAAGTCTTTCTTAATCTTCATCCTTTTACTTTGCATTTTATTTTGAAAAAAAAATATTTTGCATGCCATTCTTTCAATATGTGTTTTAAAGGATTTCACTAATTTTTTTTAAATTAATATTTTTAAAAACTAATTTTATATTAAAAGTATTATTCATATAAATCATATATGTTAACTTTGTGATTAATCTTGTAGGCCTAATCAGTTTATTAATTACGCAAAATTTAATACCATTAAATATATATCAGCAATTAAATA